ATATATATGTATAATATATACTATATGTATATGTATTATAAAATAATGCCACACGTTACGCTTGCTTTTGTTTACTCCGTCTCTCGTTGCTAGAACATTGCAATAATTCTAATGCAGATTTTTTACAATTATACGCGCTTGATTAATTTTTTTTTTTTGTTTTTGCAGATACCTTCATGCTGATGACTTTAGGCTTGCTTGGCCTCTCATGCGGTTGTTTTCTTCTATTGTGCCACCCTTACGAGATTCTCTACAAATGGAAGGTGACATTCGGCGAAGGCGGCGAGATTTTCGAAATGTGGCGAGTTCCTAACGTCGATCTTTACTTGAAAGTTTATCTGTTTAACGTTACAAATCGCGATGAATACTTAGACGGTCGGGAGAGCAAACTGCGTTTCCAAGAAGTTGGTCCCTACGTATACAAGTAAGAATTATAAGTATTTCAAATACCGAGTTTCTCTATTGAATAAATAAATAACTAAATTATGACTAAGCTTAAAGCCTACAGTTCTACTGTTAAGCGCAAGATGCAAACGCAATTTGCAAGTCACGTGGAATTGACTAATCACATTGATCAAATCAGGTAATCGACCAACGTGACCAGCGTTGGTCAATTCTACAAGACTTGCGACTTGCGTTTGTCTTGCGCCTGATGTAGAATAGGTTTAATGTATTTTGTTAATGCTAAATTAAGAGAATGCCGAACCCCGACGAGTGTCCTTTGATTTAGCTGCCATTCAGCCGCTGTAAGAGTAAATGGCGCCATCTTTCGGGATCGAGTCTGACTAAAGCAAGGATAGGTGACATAAGAGAAACAAGGACGTGTGTGTCTCTCCGGCGATTCTGCTAAATCTGCACTAATCTTATTGTCACATTGTTTCTTTTTAAAAGCTTCAAAATCTATTTTCAAAACAATCAAAATATTCGTTTATGTCTGTAGAATGGCTCGGACAAATTGTGTTGTGATTCATATTGTCACTTTTATATACAAAGTGAAAATGTTGTCTACATGATAACAGTCCGTAAACTTTTTTTCGCTTTTCTTGTTAATTTTTGTCCGGGCCGTATTTTAACAATATTCTCTTTTATTCTGGAGAAACGTTTTCCATTCCAGACCAATAGATGCAGAGTAAGTTGTGCAAAAAAAGTGCTGGTAAAGCAGGGGACGGTTCAGCATTCTTTTAAAACTACGTTGTAAAACTATGTTTTTCCACAAATCAAATAATTTTGCAAATTAGAATTTTTTTAAGCGGAATATATCTAATTATCTTTGGCTTTGAATCCTGCGGTTTGAATAATGTAGGTGACTATTAACACGACTGTTAATCATGTCATCTACATTAATATGATCATAGTCACGACTATTAACATGACCTTGAATGATTTTCTAGAAAAAAAACAAAATCAATTATGCGTTGTTGATATTTTCGCGAAACATCGCGAAGGCCTCTAAAGAATTAATAATATCGATCGAATGCAATTAATTGTGTAGAACGCTCTGGAAAATTCTAATAGAATAGAAATTATATGTTCTCGTTCGTACAAAACACTAATTGCAGAAAAAAGTGGATATTACGCGGTCGTTGAAATAATATTTAACAGTGGAAGGAAGCAGAAAATCACATCTTGCGTGTGATAATTATAAAGTTAGAAATATACAGAAAAAAAAAAAAGTAAGACAGAGATATTTGGTTTGCGCGCGACTATCACATTCGAACTTTTGAAGTATCTGCCAATTAGACTCTTATCGCTTGTTGCACTTAAACGAAACAAATTTGCATTTTGTTCCTTTGTTTTTTTTTTTATAGTTTGTCAAACAACAGTTTGACAAATTATAAAAAATATTTTTCGACACATCATTTTTTATTTATATTCTTTTCGTTTTTTTTTTTTTTTTTAATGGTATTTGTTTTTTTCTTTATTTTATCATTTCCTGCTATATATAAGCTTGAATTCTTTAATTTTTCGATTTTCTTATACATGTGCTTTTGCATCTACGGACTTTACAAATTTTTATAGTGAAAACTAAAGACTACTATTCTCTAATATTTCAATTCTCTTGCTTTTCTCCAAACAAGCTAATTTCTGTTGTACTCGGAGTTTAAGTTGTTCTCAACATATCTCGAACTTTATATTTATTCGCTGGCATCTTTCAACAAACTTCATTTAAGACTTCAGCCAATATTTATCGAAGGTTAACGGTAAAAAAAAAAGGCAGAGAAAACAAAAACCTTTAACAAAGAAGAAATATCTTGACAGAAAATGCATAAAACCAACATCCTTCGAAATATTTGAGATAAAACCACATAAATAAAAGTGGTTTTGTTTACGTACTTAAACAGAGATTGAGAGATCCTGTGAAGTTACTTTCTGATGATATTATCTTTGTTATACACGTATCATAATAACGTTTCTTTTGTATATTAACATGTATAAATGTTAGTAAAATGAAAAATATCAGGTGCTTGCAAAAGTTTATATGATATTAAAACCATTTTTCTTTATTATAAACAAAGATATGACATAATATTTTACTTAAATTATTGCCCTTGTTATCAATAACTTCTTGCCATCTTTTTTGAGCAGTAGTTTGATGTCGTGCCGATGAAAAATGACTAATTTTTTGAGACGATCCATTTATCACCCTATTTTCTTAGCATTTCAAAACCGTGTATTAGATAGACCGTGCTACAACATCTCTGTAGTCGCAACATGCGGCCTGGCGTTGTGAAGCAAGATGATTTTGCGTTGATTTGTTGATATTGGGAATTTTTTCCTTCATAATTAACAATTCAAACGCCATAATTGTTAACTGTACCAATCTCCTGTAACTACTTTCTCCGATGGTAACAATTTATAGTAAAGCATTCTTTTTTGGTCCCGTCACAAAGGATATAAAGGAAAACTTTAATTATAATCGTGGATATTTCGCTTTATTAGATAACAATAATACCGTGATCAACTTTTGAGTTTTTGTGTTTAGGATTGTCTCCTAAAAAATAGATTCACTTCTCATTACCTGTAATTATTCACTATAAAAACAATTAAGCATAAAACATTCTTTTTTGTCATTCCACTATTTCTAAACCTTTTAAACTACTTCTCGCAGATATAGCAGCGGACACAATATTCTCTCAATAAAGTTTCACAAATCAATCTTTTAGTTGTCGCAGCAATTTCATTTCGATTTAAATAATAAAGCATAAAGTAGCCAAAATGAATTTTATTCGGTTTTTATCTTCAATAAGTCGCGTTAAATGTGACATTTTGTTCACAACTATGAATGATCAATTCTGATTAAGTACGCGCAACATTTAAAAACTAAAAAGTAATTTAAAGGAAAACAAGACTTACTAAATTTCTGTTACAATTATACTATTTGTGATCTTACGAGCTTTTGCAAGCACTTATATAAAGATTGTTATGTGTGGTGTATCTTTTCCTGTTTCAGAGAAAAATTCGTGCATTCAAATGTAGTTTTTAATGACAACGGTACATTATCAACAATACCGAAGCATCCATTAACATATGTGCCAGAAATGAGCAACGGCACAGAAGAAGATCTGCTAATTCTACCGAACATTGCGTTGCTTGTAAGTAATAGAAACATTCTTTATTTATGAATGAGGAGGCACGACAAGATTTTTTTGCATAAATTATTTTAATGTATAAATGAGACATAATTAACGTATCGCGTACGTTCATTCTTATAAATGAGAACGTTTTCAAAAGCAGACCGTTGCTGATATCAAGAAACCGGTTTAGTTACTGAAAGCAAAATAATGATAAGAAAAGCAATGATGCTCCAAGAGCATTTCAGTATCAGAGGCTGCTCTTGAAACTCTGATAAAGTGAGCTGAAATGTTACGTACGAAACGTCGATTTAAAAATGACGTTAACGCGGTTCAAACCAGAAAAAACATCTTCGAATGTTAATACAACACACCGCGAAAGCATCAAATATCAGATCAAGAAGAGCAGTACCGGTTTTATTTATCATTTCATTGCCATTTTTATTGTGCGTTTAATTTAATTAATTCAAAAGAAATTTGATATAGTGCTAATATACCCTATGAGGTAAGACAAGATAAAATGATACACAGAAAGATGGAAAAATAAGATTACAATTTATTTTGGCAAGAACTCAAGAATGAAATAAAAAAATTAACGGAGCAATAAATACATAAGAAAAATTATGTAGATTTCTTTAATTACAGCGATTTCTGTTTCTAGAATTTCGATACAATCCGAAAAAAAAACAATAAAAAGCTACGCATTACAGTTTTAAATAATATATATGTAAATCAGAATATACTATGTGCTAAAATAATTGCCAGCGATTAAATATTATTGCACTGACTAACAAAAAATTAAAGAAAATTTTTTATATAATCAGCACGCGGAATTTGCAGAACGTCTTTAAAAAAAAGTGTTTTCATTATCGAGAATAATTAAATGAAGGACATAGCTCGTGTATTATTCGTGACACGTTCGAGCTGTGTATTGCTTTCTCTCTCTTTTTTTTTTTTGATCCCATATAAGAGTATCACAAATTTATCGCGTGATACGTCACATGACGTGCGATCGTGACATGACGAAATAACATCAGAACATATTATACACATATTGTAGTAATAGTAATAAGAAACTTGATCAATTAATACAAATCATATAATTTTACAGTGATTTCCACAATGAAATTCAAACATCAAATAGCAACATGACAATTAAATCGTAATTACACAACTTGTATACTTAAACATACACTTAAATGCAAATCTAAAAACTAACAAAAACATTGGTAGCTTTGGTAACATGTTTCTTACACGTGTGTGTGGAATAATTTTATATACATAGAATTAAGAGACTTTTTTTAATTATTGTTAAATATTTTGCCAATATTATCTTTTCAACTGTAGACCTAAATAAAGCTACAAGAAAAGCTACCGTAGACTGGATCTGTGAGATTTACGCAACTTTAAGATTAAATATTTTCGCCAAAAAGCAATATTTGTTCACTTTCTTTTTTTAAATCAAAAGTTTGAACAATTCTGCATCAAAAAGAAAAAAAACAAATTGAGAAATTCTCCAATAGTTTCAAAGATATAAGTGTTTAACTAAAAATCTGACAATTTTTTTTTAATAAAAAGGCTTTTTGTTTAAAAATTTATAAGTTTTTTTGTAATTAATAAATTGCTGTAAACGTACATAAATTTTGATAAAATTATGAAAAAGATTATAAAATAGCTTGTAACATTGCTGTGTAAAATTATAAAATAGCTTTATTTGACCTACCCTGTATATATTGGTTATATAAATAATATATAAGCAATATAAGGACTTGGTGGCGCGCGAGAGTGTATATAAGCAATATAATATATATATATATATATATGAAAAGTACTAGTAACAGCAAAATAAATTTTGATTGCAACACACACACACACACACACACTCTCTCTCTCTCTCTCTTTGTTGCAACAAGCAACAAAGTTCGCACTATTTAATCATCTTTATTAACAAAACACAAGTTAGTGCTAATTCACATTGATGTAATTGAAAGTTATTGTATAAACTCCGACAGTTTTACAATATTTCAGTTTATTTGATTGTAAATTTCACGATTGTACATTTCAGTGACAGATCACTAATTACGATCAATTTCGTAAACTTAAGATTTCTATTCTTTAACGCGGTTCTGAAAATTTTCTATAGTGCGCGAATTTATCATAACAATATATTCTAATCTTATATAATATACACAGCGTGTTTTTCTCGGATGTACATATTTTAACAACAGTTAATTTATCAATTAATTGAAATTTCCAGCAAAAATGATCCTTTTCTGTCTTACTTCAATATCTTACTATATCAACAATAACATATTTCAATATGTATCTTCTATACATGTATAGAATTTCTAGATATATATATATAATAGATTTCTTGTTTTTATATTATATGTATAATTCTTTATATTAAGTAAATGTATAGATAGATAAACAAATGGAGAAAAGAGAAAGAAAAAATTACTTAGCGATTCAAACTCGAAAACCATTTTCAGAAATTCTTATAATACACTGCAAAAGCATCAAACTGTGTAACTAAATAAATTCTTACATTTTGCAATCAAGCAAATCTTTGTATAATGACACACATGTACGAAAATTAATATAATGCATCATTTTACCTGACGTAAAGAATGCCGTATTACGAATTGAAATATTTAAAATTGCGAGAAATTTCCACTTTTATAATCAAACAAATGCGTCTTGAGAAACATATTTGCGTTTAGGTGATCAGTTTGCAAAAAGTTAGAAAGAAAGCAGATTAATGCTTTTTGCATCATTACGAATAAAAAAATTGTTGATTATTATTAATGAATAATATTTGCAAAACTCTCATATCGTCATATACAAAGATATATATATATGTATATATACATGTATATATATTCAAGGATCGCGTTTTGTATATGCATAATACGAAAAGAATGCGTCTATTGTTAATTTAACAAAAATGATTGATCGTATCAAGTAAAATAGTGCATTCTGCAAATGAATGATATGGCAAAAATGACATACATTCTTGTAAAATACGCGCCCGAGTCATCGAGCGACAGATCATTGTTGTGTAACGATTCTGCGAATAAAAACAGAATATTGTCTCTCAAGAATTTTCCGATCAATGTTTAAAACCAGATAATCTCATAAAAAACGACTTTGCAACCATATACCTTGAGCTATGATTAAAACTTAATTAGAATTACTTACGTCAAGATAATATCTACCTGCTTCCGTTCCGTTCGTTTGCGTAAACAAACGTAAAAACTCAATCATTAATGTGATTGCGAAACTTCCTATCGCAGATGATGAAAGAATTCATGATTCCGCATTTTATGTCGTAAAATCATAATTATATCTATTGGAAGAATTTGTTTTTCGGAAATTAATGGCAATTATTTAATATAAAACTTAACTTGTTTCCATCGCATTGCTACCGTAAAATAATTGATATAACACACGTCCTAACCTAACCTACCTATATAAATATTTTATTCTGTAATGCTATATAATATTAAACAAATCAACTATGTTGAATTAAGTAAATATTCATAAAGTCAACGTAAAGAATGTCGAAATCATTGATTTTTGAAGAAGTCGACTTCATGTGAATATTTCGAGATTGTGTACATATTTTTCGTAATATCTTAATTTATTTGATTGATTTGTTTTTATTTGCAAAACAATTTTAGAAAAAGTAATTCTTTGTATTTACATATAAGTAAGTTAAATTTCTAGTTTTATATTTGTTTATTAAACAGTATAATTTTAAGAGTAGTAAAAATGTATTAAAAATATAATACGAACATCGAGAAACTTTATCGTACTTTACATGTGTATGTTTAATTATGTAAGTATAATTACCATTATTCTTACTTACACTACTAGTCTTATACTTATCACTATTCTTACTTACCACTATTCTTACTTACATTATCAGTGAGGTCAATGACTATGGCAACTATATATGTAAAGGAAAACGTCTGAAGATTGCGAATTTATTTAGTTTTTCCTTCCTTTGTTGAAACGTATTGATGTGACGCTTAATTTGACATAAAGAGCGGCATTGTACATTAAAATAACAATGTCGACATGTAGATATATTAACACTCATAATGCATATCGACCGAGAGACAGTACAATTTATTGCATAATTTATCAGACAATAGTTTACTATTGTTTTTATCTTCAAAAACATAAACAATATGAAATTAGTAACTTAAATAAAAACATAAATATTTTTACTCTTTGACTATATTCAATTATTATACATCCAATTTATATTTTGTGCTTTTGAGAAGTAACTACTTATACTTTTGCATAATACTATCCGTTTGTGCACACATTCTGCCGATAATAAAGTAGCTAATTTTTTAATGAAGATAACTTTTTAATTTGTTTCTACGATAACGAGCACAAGAGACAGGCAAAAGTGACGAAAAAATTTTGATTTTTTTACTAGTATCAGATGCAGGCAAAAAAAAAGATTGTTTTCAATCAAAAGCAATCAATCATTGTTTAGAATCAAAAATATTACAAAAACGACTATTCATAAGAATTAAAATATTCGATTTGCTGTAAGTTAAATATAAATAAAATAATAAATGATTTTGCTAATATTGAAGTCCGAAACGTAATATTTTAATTTTTAAAAACATAATGTAAATATTATATTATTATCAAGCAATATTATGCAAAGTACAAACACTTACAATTATTTTTTTACACGGAGAAAACACTATGGATATCACTTCAGGAAATATAGTTGCCCCAACAAAATAGTAATGTTATTTTTCGCCCATGCGTACACTATGGTTGTAGAAACCATAGTTCTATGGAAATGACTTGTATGGTTGATCCAACATTAATGAGGATAG